ATCAAGAACAGGACCGCCATCAGACGACTTCACTAGCTTCTGCAGGTCCTGCAATATCATGGCGGCAACAATTTTACGTCGCCGCTTTCTCCTTGCCGGAGTCAACCTGAGCTCCATGGGCATGGCTCCAACACAAGATACAGAACGAAATCGAAGAAGCACACACAGCACTCGTTCTGAGAGCAGACCTTTTCATCCGAACTGCACTACATGTACGTAAAAAGCAGATCACCTGTCAGTGTGCAACTGCACTTGATCAGGCTGGCGCATACGCAACGTTAGTTGCGTTTTACATGTACGTAGTGTGTAAGGGCCCTAAAATCAAATTTTCACCAGTTGTAGTCTTCGGGATGCTGAGTCGAATGGTCTTGGTCCGAGGAAGCTGAGACGCTCCCTTCCTCCTTTATTCCCAATCGAACTCGCGCACTTCCACCGAAACTGGGTGACTGTGCCCTACTAGATGGGGATTTGTATGCAAATGTCACTGATTTGTATGCAAATGTCACTAAAAGCGCCATTTCGTTCTTATAAAAGCACGGATGACCACGATTGGCCCATATGTTGTAGTCTTTTGGACGCTGAGTCAACCGGTTTTGGTCCGAAAAGGCTGCGATGCAGCGTTCGGGCCTTGTTCCCAATCGAACATGACTGAACAAGCGCGGCATGCGCACTGACTGCGCTACAGGCAAAACAGTCAAAATTGCCATACATGTATGTAGCAGGATCGAACAACCAACAACACAAATCATTCAAACTGTACATCAAACTGTATGACTGTACAAGCCAGCTTAAATTACCGTACTGTATCGTCATACATGACTTAACGGGTACTCGTTTGCTAACGAGTCAGTAGCTAAACAAACGGGTACCCGGATCACCCCTTTCACCCCTACAGCATACCCATGCAACATTCTACCTGTAGTCACTATTGTACAGCCGCAAAACAAATTTAGTTGTTGGTTTACATCACTTTGTGTGTTGCTATTGACTTTTCACAGAATGGAAGTCTTGTGGTCCGCACGGGATAGAATATACGTTCGTCAACCAGAAAAAAAACTTTAGTGAAGCTGTGAAGTATTGCAAGAGCTTCGGGAAGGGTAGCAAGCTAGCAATTCCACGTAACAGCATAGAGAACCAGTGTATCTACCAGTCCAAACCAAGCCACTCAATTGACTGCTGGATTGGCATTCGATCACATTTGGTTCACCCATTCAAGTGGATATCAGTTGATGATAACCAAACAATTATGTTCTCAAAATGGGCCCGTGGTCAGCCAAGCCAACCTGACCATATCACCCAACTGTGTGCAGCATTGTGGTATGCACCTTCATACGGTTCCTATGGCCAAAAATGGGATAATGGTGAATGCAAGACCCACATTAGTATGGTGTGTCAACGACCAGGCAAGTACGCATGTGGACGTGAAAACACACACACACACACACACACACGCACGCACGCACGCACGCACGCACACACACACACACACACACGCACGCACACACACACACTTTCTCTCTCTCTCTCTCTCTCTCTCTCTCTCTCTCTCTCTCTCTCTCTCTCTCTCTCTCTCTCTCTCTCTCTCTCTCTCTCTCTCTCTCTCTCTCTCTGCTATTGGCGCGCCTGGTTGTGATGAAGCCGAGACCCAAGGCCGGCAGAGCATCCCAGACCACGCCACCACTCCCCTTATTCATGGCTCACACATGACGGGTTTACATGGCTCTTGTAAAAAAACACAAAAACACACACACACACACACACGCGCGCGCGCACACACATTAACTTGCTTACCCTTCAATTCTAATTACATTTCCTGAATCCAAATATGCAAACATGGTGTCTTTGCTGCACCCATCACTTTATAATAACGTCAGGTATACCAAACATCCCAGCCTGGACTATGATTAGGGTGAAACGGTAAACTAAATGTAAACGTATTTCCTCGGGTCACACCTCTCCCTCCCCCCCCCCCCCTTTTCGCGCTCACGATTCATATTTTGTTGATATTCGGAGTATAAGCCGCATGTCAGACTTTGAATTTTTGGCAACCTAAATTAACTTGAAATGTGCTGGTGCATGCAAGAGTTCGCAAATGGTTAAAACGACTGAATTTCGAGCAAAAAATCCTAGTTTATCCTTCACTCTGAACTGACACCATGTAGAAGCTTTGTGCTAGTGCAATGATGGAGCGCACTACATGAACAGTACAGGTGGACTCCCTCTAATCCGAATACGGTGTAATTCGAACATTCCATGGAATTCGAAATTTTTCGCCGTACCAATCTTCTGCAGGTCACTTCAGGTCAAATTTGAATGCATAATTCTAAGCACGAAAAGTGTGCCCGCTGGATAGTTTGAGCTCTGTCTTTGTACAGAAGAGCAGTTTGCAGGACATTGACCATGTCTTTCGAGCACTTATTTCGAAGTGAGATGGAGTTGCTATACTTGTAATTCGAAGTTCATTTTTTCTTTTCTTTAGCCAAGCCTCGAGTAGCTCGAAGATCGATCCCTGGTCCGCTCCAGGATCGACAATAGCGTTCAAGAAGCCCAATTTCTCTCGAAATTCGATCCAAGCCCGTGCAATTGCGCAAGGCAACGTGCAAAGATTTGATTGAAGACGACTTCCTCCAAGTGGCTTACTCCCTTCGCGGATCGCATTGGCCTTCAATGCCGTGCCACCTCATGCCCAGAGATGTTTGCAGACAACAACTGTGACTATTGACTAGTTGTAAAAATTGTTGATGCCTTTGCTCCACTTCCGTTCTTCAGAATGACGTGCTGCTCAACAACTGTGACTATTGGCTAGTCGTAAAAATTGTTCATGCCTTTGCTCCACTTCCGTTCTTCAGAATGACGTGCTGCTCTCCGACGGGCTTTCAGGACGTGGATTAGGCAGTGCTGTTCTTTTCCGTTTACTCGTTGCAGGACAGCTGCAGTGACTGACAACTTCCTTCACTATAAAAGATGAAGATAATGTCAAAATGACGTTGTGCCCAGTGTTTTGTATTTTGATAACTCGACGACCTTGTGTATACCGTATGTCCGCACCTTTAAAGCCATGGAGGTACATCCGGTTATAAAGCCATGGGCTTTGTAAATGAAATGACATTTGAAGTTTGTTTTACAAAAATGAAGGAATAAGTTGTTGTTGTTGTTGTCTATTTTACTTCACCAAATGAACTGGCAGAGATGCCTTCTCACCTGCCCATAGGACAGGTTCTCACAGAACGATGAAGGGATGATATGCAAGGGAAAACAAGAAATGATAATAATATATGGCAAAAAGGACCAAAAGAAGAAAAGGAAAAATTATATGAAGACAATTTCACGGAGTCAGAAATAGAAAGACAATAATTTCATGGAGTCAATGAATAGAAAGACAATTTCATGGAGTGAGGACAACATGTGAGTGTCTCACATGTTGTCCTCACTCCACAAGGTGCGTAGCCTAGGCATCGATGGTCCGCTTCAGAGATGGCTGGCCTCATACCTGGACACCCGTTCCTTACAGTGCCTCGTTGGAGGGCGGACGTCATCTACGTATACGACCTCCGCTGGAGTCCCCCAGGGAAGCATTCTTGGACCAACGCTTTTCCTGGAATACGTCAACGACGCGCCAGATGTTCTCGCTGACGGCGCCAGCTTGGAGGCCTATGCTGATGGCACAGCCTTGTACAGCTTAGTCACCTCCCAGCAGACCCCAGAAGTCGCAGCGCAGTCACTGCAGGTGTCCGTTGACCGACTGCACGAGTGGGGCCGTACGTGGAAAGTGATTTTTGAACCGACCAAGTCCCAGGCCATGACAGCCACCCTCAGACATTGCCGGCTTAGATCTCCCCCCACTCCTGTCTGGTGGCACACTGGTGCCCGAGACAACCAGCATCACCCTCCTTGGTGTGAAGGTGGACGCCAAGTTGACCTTTAGCGATCACCTACGCTCCGTAGTCACCCGTGCACGCCAACGGCTTGGGGTCGTAAACAGAGCCGCCCACATCCTCACCCCCGCCGGCCCGACGACAGTGTATAAGGCGTTGGTACGACCAGTCATGGAGTAATCGCCTCTTGTATCGATGGAAGCTGCGCAGAGTCACCTCCAGCGTCTGAACAGAACAATGTTCAGCGCCGCACACTTCATGCTATCGGCCCTGGGGCACACCTACCCAGCTTGGCCATCCGCCGTACTGTTGCCTCGCTTGCCTGCCTGTACAAACTGCACTACTTGCCTGGTCCTCCGCAGCTGTTCTCTGTGTTGCCAACGCGCCATATCACCTCTACCAACCCCAGAACACGCAGCGAGCACGGTAGTGTCAGTGGCCATGACCACCGGCTGCCTGCATCTGCCCCGCTGGCACTGAAGCGCTCGTTCCCACACTGCAGCATCAGCGATTGTAACTCCCTCCCTGCCGCTCTCCTGTCCCAGCTTCCCCACAGCAGGAGAATGGAATCATTCAAAACGAATGTTTATCGCCATCTTCGCAGCACAAACTGGCTCTGGGCAGTCGATTCCCTATGAATAGTATGATGCTATCCCACACTCGCTCGTGTTACGCCTTGGGTTTTTTTGCGTCTTTCTGACCTGTACATGTCTATCTTCTTCTCTTTTTTCCTTTGTTTTTGGTGCGTGTTTCTGGCCGTGACGCCGAGACCTCAGGTCGGCAGAGTCACCAATGCCCCACCTTCACTGCTGCGTCTCGGTACAGCCCCTGCTCATCAGTTGTCACGTTTGTCCTAGTCTCCGTACCATTGTCTTTCTTTATTTTTTCGAGCTGGTTATGTGAACATAGTGCCAGAACTTTGCAGCCTAGAGAGCGTGTGTGGGCAAGCATGTGTTTGCCGCCATATTGCCAGATGTGTCTTTACCACCATATTTATCAACCATAAGTACAGCTGCAGTGGTGTCTTCAACTTCATTCTCCCGAGTCAAGCTCCGTATGAAGACATCCAAGAAGAAGATTGCCTGATAAGTCTAGCGGGGACGAAACGTACGTCGCAATTGAGCTATGTCGTTGATGTGTCATCTTCTATGTGCCATGCGCTACTTGATGTACCAGCCTGCTATGTCGGATACCGCCAACCATGCATCGACCAGGTGCCAAGAGCGGATTGATGGTGGTGGTGGTAAGAAGGAGAGCTCTGTGCCAGAACTTTGCAGTCTAGAGAGCGTGTGTGGGCTGGCATGTGTTTACCGCCATATTGCCAGGTGTGTCTTTACCACCATATTTATCAACTAAAGTGACAACAGAAAAACACTCGCAAAAATGGCACTAAAATATCAGCTGAGAATTCAGAGCAAGCGGTGTAATGTACTCCACGTGTGTTGCTAGTGAGTGCATGTGTGTGTGTGTGTGTGTGTGTGTGTGTGTGTGTGTGTGTGTGTGTGTGTGTGTGTGTGTGTGTGTGTGTGTGTGTGTGTGTGTGTGTGTGTGTGTGTGTGTGTGTGATTGTGATTCCACCCCCAGCGTTGTCGTGTTAACGCAGCCCTTATTGACTTGAACAAGACGAAAGTAGTACGGACCAGCTGAGGTGGGCGTTTGCTGCGACATGGGCGTTTGCAGCGGACTTTACGGTACTTGTATGTCACTCAGGGCGCGTTTGGTTGGTACGATCTAGAACAGGATCGAGCAGCTGGTGCACATGGAGCCGCCTCGTGCCAACCAATTGGTACTCCAAAAACAGAGTCCGTTTACCGGTATGTAAAAAGTGCGCCAAACGTGGCTGCAATCATGAACATGTGTACGAGTCACCATGGTCACCATGTGTACGAGTCACCATGGTCACCATGGTCACCATGGTGACCATGGTGACTCGTACACATGGTGACCATGGTGACCATGGTGACCATGTCACATGTGTACGAGTCACCATGGTCACTTCGTCACCATGGTCACCAAGTCACATGTGTACGAGTCACCATGGTCACTTCGTACGGTACAACGAGTGCAAAAGCGTATGCACATGATCATTTGGGACCAGAATCAATGTTCCCGCCAGGTTTCACTGTGGAAAAATAAAACTGCTCTGGCTGCTCCAGCCTCGAGGCCGGAGCAAGCAGAACATGTTATCACCGATTGAGAGCAGGTGTAGTCCCGACCAAACGTGCTGTTCTGGTGAATCCTGCTCTAGGTTGTACCAACCAAACGCACCCTCTGTCTTAATTTGCAATAGCAGTAGCGGCCTAAGGAGCCCCGTTGGTTTGTGATCTTAAAATTACAACTTTGTTCTCTGTCTGTGCAGTACAAGTCATCAATGACCTACCACCGTCAACATCCGTTTTACCAACTACTGTCACAACATCAGTGCAAACTACAAGTGCACCAAGATCTTCCTCAAGTACAACACAAGCGGATGGATCTGTCATACTGCCAACCGTGCAAGACACACCCAGTACCAGTGTGCACCGTGATGTGGGAGGTCCAAATGTATCCCAAAAGCCACCACAAGCTAGTGGTAAGGCCAAGTTAGACTATCTCGTCCTTTTAAATGTGAGATACGCTTTCTCTAGCTATCTATCTATCTATCAATCTTTACAAGAACAAGGACAACTTGACGGATATTGCTGCCACTCCGAATCATATGCAAATTGCAGTCTTCATCAGTTCTTGTGTAAACAATCTGCCAACATAGGCATTACGAACTCTGCACAGATAAAGAACTACAATGTTCATATTTCAATCAATAAACTACCGTAAAAGTCCGTAAATAAGTACGTATTTACTTTCGAATTTAGTGACCACACCCGTACTAACTTTCGGGCGGGTACTAACTTTCGGGCACGAACTTACTTTCGGACCTGACTTGTGTGTAGTGGAGTAGTCATTTTCATGTCGATGTACATGCTACATGCTGCATGTGCTCACTGTACCGGTACTTATTTCGGGCAGTATGTTTATCGGGCTTGACTTGACTTCAACAGACAGAGCCAAAAAATGAAGGGGTATTTCTTTCGGGTAGGTACTTATTTACGGACTGGTACGTGGCCATCAATCACCCCACCTATCTATCTCTCTAACTGTCTAGTTTCAGGCACCAACAGGCGTCACTGAAGTCTGAATTTGAAGCGTAGAGATACGAGAATGCAAGCTTGAAAGTCTAAACGAAAGGAATTTTTTTAATTGTTTGGGAACACATGTTCCGCAAGTTGCACGCTCGAAAGTCCAAACAGCAATGACATGCAAGAGACGTTGTACAGGATTTTGAAGGGCGCATGCCCACGTGATTCACGCATGCGTGCAGGTTGGGCCAGCTCGCTCGCTTGCAATCCCTCAATTGCTATCTCATTTTTCTCTGTCTACTCATCATTGCCATTCAGGTTGGATGACGTGTCCTTCGACGGGTCCACATGGAATAGAGTATACATATGTTGATGTTGCAAAGACTTTTGATGAGGCAGTGCATCATTGCAAGAGTCTCGGGACTGGCAGCAAGCTAGCTACTCCACACAATGCCATGGAGAATCAATGTATATACCGGACTAAAGCAAGTCGCACAACTACCTGGATTGGAATTCGGTCAAACATAGATCGTCCAAACTTCAATTGGACCACAGTAGACGATGGAAACAATATATTGTTTCACTATTGGGCTGGTGGAGAACCTAACCATGGATCAACTGCTCAGTTGTGTCTGACAATGTGGTACAGCCCAAAGCGGAACACCTATGGGTCTCGGTGGGATAACGCAGAATGCAAAGAAAAAGTTAAATTTGTTTGCCAAAGACAAAGTAAGTATTTTTTTTAAACATGCAGTTCATAGAATATGGCGATGAACAATATTTTAGTGCGCACTCATATCACAAACATAACAACCAAATTGTTGTACATGTGGCTGCGCATGTAGCTCTTTGTCAAACATGCTGCTGTGTTTGTGTCTCTTTATAGTACCTGCTGCGTTTGTGTCTCTTTGTCGTACATGCTGCTGAACCGTGGTACACACTGCTGCGCTGTCTTTGAATGGTTTGTACACGCAGCTGCACCGTCCCCTCCGTATGCACTCTTTCTCGTCTTGTTCCCATTGTACTTGTCTGGTTGTCGTCTTGTCTCTGTCGTATTTGATCGTCTGCCGTCTTGGTCTCCCTTCCCGTTCGGGACTGGTTCTATTACGCAACGGCACCAATTTCGTGTCCACCGCCGCACTTTTCCTCACGTCTTCACAATATTATTCCTTTGTCTCGTCTTGTCTCGGTGCCAGTTGTCTCGTCGTCTCCTCAGAGAAGGAACTGAATTATACTCTCTATAAACCAAACAAGTTGGCCTTTCGTTGTGTGGCGCGGACGCGTTGAGGTGAATAGTTCATCCCATAAGCTAGATGTAGAAACGTCGCTTCAAGTTGACGACGAAAGTAGTTTCACATCCAGAATGTTTTCTTGGCCGCCTTTGTAGATAATCCATAGAATCCTACTCAACTGTGTATGTGACAATGTGGTATTGTAGCGTATGACCCAAATCGCAATACCTATAGGTCTCCATGTGATAGTACAGTGTGCAGATGTCAACTTTAATTTGTCTGCCAAAATCTCTACCACAATTCAGACGAAATTAACGATGAAAAAAACAGTGTAAATGTCTGTATTTTGTGGCAAAAAGTCTGGTTGTGGCTTACACTCCAGTGCTGCTTATACTCTCGAAATACGGTAGTTTAATTTAACTTTAGCCATTGAAGAGGACCATGTGCACACTCGTATTGTTAACATTAGATCTGACTGTTCATTTTCAAGTTCAATTCGTACAGTGCAAGTTAGTTCATTGCAAACAATCTTCAAAGAGACGTTTTATTAACGTTTTCAAGAGTCCAAAATCCCCCAGAGTGTACAACTGGAATGGTGTTGTGGGACGGCGTAATCCGTGATGTACGTCATTTTTTTGGGTCGAACTTGTGTCATTCCGTCGACACGATCCACCACGGAAACACTTCCCCTACTCACAATGTCACACTATGGCGTGCAACACAGATTTCGCCTTCCCAGATCTGATCAGTGAAGTTGCGCACTCTGGGGGATTATGGACTCTTGACGCTATAAACAGTACTAGTGCCGCAGACACAACCATGCCCTAGTAAAATATGAATAAATAATAATAATAATTTGAAACTCGGGTATTGAGCCAATAATAAAAGTAGAAAGGAAAAGGACATATGGAAACGAGTTAAGAGTAACTCTCCACCACTGTAACTAGACACTATATACAGTCAGAAAGGCGAAAGGCGAAACGTACGTCGTGTGAAACAACTTGTTTTGTAGTCAACTAGTCCATCACAATGTCATGCATGAGGAGTACTGTAGGAGTTTAGATTTCGGCTTGTACAATTCGTTCTCGCAAAGCTTCCCCCTTCTTAACTTATCTTTGATATTTTTGACCCACCCAAGTTGGGTGGTGTGCTGCTTTGCTGCTTCGAATTGTAGTTAGACCGCTTTGTCAAATCGCCTACTGGTCTCGTCATCGTCCAGTGACAATCGACATTCTTTGTTCCGTTGGGACTGTAGCTTGTGCTCGTTTTCGTTGCGCTTGCCTTCCCCTCTTTGGTCTTTCCATAACCTTGAACCTTCCAAGTTGGAAGGCTGTCGGTTAGCGCTACGGAGATGTGTTGAAGCTAGGTGTCAGGACGTCGAATGTCTCAGTACTCTGTCAGTTTTGTGCCTAGTTGTTGCACTTTCTGACTGTATATAGTATCTAGTTACAGTGGTGGAGAGTTACTCTTAACTCGTTTCCATATGTCCTTTTCCTTTCTACTTTTCATAATAATAATAATAATAATTTCAGAACTAAATATTGCGACAGAGCATATGCCATTGATATATGTGGAAAGCGCGCACTTGCGCCATTTCTGGTGTATAAGAATGATCATTCCTCCATTATCATCATTATCATTCTCTACTGATGAGCTCCGACAGGGAGCGAAACAGCTGTCTAGAGGCGTGGAGCAATATTATCTCTCAACGGAAGTGTCCTTGCTGGTGTCTGTATGGTTCGGCTGAAGAGCGCGTGGTTGTGATGAGTTGGGAATGCAATAATAATAATAATAATATTACCTACAATATTGTGTGTGGGTACAGTGAGGGCTGCGTCCCACCCGCCTGTGTGGATTCACAGGAAGTGTGAGTTACGAAGTCTGAAGAAAATGTTGAACAGTCTCTGCTGGGATGACGACTACACCATAGCTCAGTGGTTAGAGCATCGCTAGCTACAAGCGAGGGTCCCTGGTTCGAGTCCTGGTGGTGACAGTCAATTTTTTCTTCAGACTTTTCCCGTTTGTCTCTTTCCCTCAAACTAGTGAAAAAATAATAATACTAATAATGCAAGTGAACATTTTTGGAGTTTAAAAAGAGTGTATAATTCCGGAATCGCCTCTGGCGATGGGTGTCAAATGGTCAAATGGTGTGGTGTTACACTTCGTATACTTTACACCGCTTGCTCTCTCTCTACCTCTCTCTCTCTCTCTCTCTCTCTCTCTCTCTCTCTCTCTCTCTCTCTCTCTCTCTCTCTCTCTCTCTCTCTCTCTCTCTCTCTCTCTCTCTCTCTCTCTCTCTCTCTCTCTCTCTCTCTTCTCTCTCTCTCTCTCTCTCTCTCTCTCTCTCTCTCTCTCTCTCTCTCTCTCTCTCTCTCTCTCTCTCTCTCTCTCTCTTCTCTCTCTCTCTCTCTCTCTCTCTCTCTCTCTCCTCTCTCTCTCTCTCTCTCTCTCTCTCTCTCTCTCTCTCTCTCTCTCTCTCTCTCTCTCTCTCTCTCTCTCTCTCTCTCTCTGTGTGTGTGTGTGTCTCTCTCTCTCTCTCTCTCTCTCTCTCTCTCTCTCTCTCTCTCTCTCTCTCTCTCTCTCCCCCCCCCCTCTCCCAGTTCTTCGGCGACCGGCAGTACTGTTAGGGTGTGTGTTCAAATTCCTGCTGTAAAACTTCATATCCTTTCGGAAATAGGGTCATTTCAGCCAAAAACACCATGGAGCAATCAGAAGTACTTGTGGACAAGGGTCCCTCGAACCCAAGAGGATTGTCGGATCCGTGTGAACGGGCGAAACGAAACAAAATGTGACGGAAACGAGGCCCATCACACCGTTTCGACTGTTCACACACCCAAATTTATCCGGCAGAACATTTCTGTTTTCAAATTCTTCCACCTTGGCCAGCGTTTTGGTTTTCTTCCGTTTTTGGTGTACAACTTTTCCGTTTTGCTCCGCGCACGGTGTGATTGAACCATGCATCCGAAAGGATTTGGTTGTGATTTCACCCCCAGCGTTATCATGTAAACGCAGCCCTTATTGACTTGAACAAGACGAAAATAGTACGGACCAGCTGAGGTGGGCGTTTCCCTGCTGAGGTGGGCGTTTGCATCGAACTTTACTTTACATGCATGTCACTCAGGGCGCGTTTGGTTGGTACGATCTAGAACAGGATCGAGCAGCTGGTGCACATGGAGCCGCCTCGTGCCAACCAATTGGTACTCCAGGAACAGAGTCCGTTTACCGGTGTGTAAAAAGTGCGCCAAACGTGGCTGCACTTGTTCACATGTGTACGAGTCATCATGGTCACCATGTCACATGTGTACAAGTCACCATGGTCACTTCGTACGCTACAACGAGTGCAAAAGCGTGCATCTAGGGGTGAAAGTTGGCACTGAGATCCCGAGTTCGAGTACTCTGATTTTCTCCGATCGAATATTCGAGTATTCGAGTATTCTTGATATCCTAAAAATTGCACACCAACCGCCTCAAACATCACATGATACAACCCTGATTGAACCGATTGGCAGTTCTTTTCTCGGGTGTATTGGTTGGTGGATCATTTGGGCTCTCTCTACTCGTGCACAAATGTTCACCACACAGTCTGCACATCAATATCTGCTGACTGCTGCTCTGAAACTGCAGACTTCTGTGGTAAATGTATGTACCATGTATGAGCGAGTACTCTGATTTATTCCGAGTACGATTATATTCGAAAAATCCAAACGAGTATTCGAATATTCGGTATAATTGTTTCACCCCTAGTATGCACATGATCATTTGGGACCAGAATCGATGTTCCCGCCAGGTTTCACTGTGGAAAAGTAAAACTGCTCTGGCTGCTCCAGCCTCGAGGCCGGAGCAAGCAGAACATGTTATCACCGATTGAGAGCAGGTGTAGTCCCGACCAAACGTGCTGTTCTGGTGACTCCTGCTCTAGGTTGTACCAACCAAACGCACCCTCTGTCTTAATTTGCAATAGCAGTAGCGGCCTAAGGAGCCCCGTTGGTTTGCGATCTTAAAATTACAACTTTGTTCTCTGTCTGTGCAGTACAAGTCATCAACGACCTACCACCGTCAACATCCGTTTTACCAACTTCTGTGACAACATCAGTACAAACTACAAGTGCACCAAGATCTTCCTCAAGTACAACACAAGCGGATGGATCTGTCATACTGCCAACCGTGCAAGATACACCCAGTACCAGTGTGCACCGTGATGTGGGAGGTCCAAATGTATCCCATAAGCCACCACAAGCTAGCGGTAAGGCCAAATTAGACTATCTCGTCCTTTTAAATGTGAGATATGCTCTCTCTAGCTATCTATCTATCTATCAATCTTTACAAGAACAAGGACAACTTGACGGATATTGCTGCCACTCCAAATCACATGCAAATTGCAGTCTTCATCAGTTCTTGTGTAAACAATCTGCCAACATAGGCATTACGAACTCTGCACAGATAAAGAACTACAATGTTCATATTTCAATCAATAAACTACCGTAAAAGTCCGTAAATAAGTACGTATTTACTTTCGAATTTAGTGACCACACCCGTACTAACTTTCGGGCGGGTACTAACTTTCGGGCACGAACTTACTTTCGGACCTGACTTGTGTGTAGTGGAGTAGTCATTTTCATGTCGATGTACATGCTACATGCTGCATGTGCTCACTGTACCGGTACTTATTTCGGGCAGTATGTTTATCGGGCTTGACTTGACTTCAACAGACAGAGCCAAAAAATGAAGGGGTATTTCTTTCGGGTAGGTACTTATTTACGGACTGGTACGTGGCCATCAATCACCCCACCTATCTATCTCTCTAACTGTCTAGTTTCAGGCACCAACAGGCGTCACTGAAGTCTGAATTTGAAGCGTAGAGATACGAGAATGCAAGCTTGAAAGTCTAGACGAAAGGAATTTTTTTAATTGTTTGGGAACACATGTTCCGCAAGTTGCACGCTCGAAAGTTCAAACAGCAATGACATGCAAGAGACGTTGTACATGATTTTGAAGGGCGCATGCCCACGTGACTCGCGCATGCGTGCAGGTTGGGCCAGCTCGCTCGCTTGCAATCCCTCAATTGCTATCTCATTTTTCTCTGTCTACTCATCATTGCCATTCAGGTTGGATGACGTGTCCTTCGACGGGTCCACATGGAATAGAGTATACATATGTTGATGTTGCAAAGACTTTTGATGAGGCAGTGCATCATTGCAAGAGTCTCGGGACTGGCAGCAAGCTAGCTACTCCACACAATGCCATGGAGAATCAATGTATATACCGGACTAAAGCAAGTCGCACAACTACCTGGATTGGAATTCGGTCAAACATAGATCGTCCAAACTTCAATTGGACCACAGAAGACGATGGAAACAATATATTGTTTCACTATTGGGCTGGTGGAGAACCTAACCATGGATCAACTGCTCAATTGTGTCTGACAATGTGGTACAGCCCAAAGCGGAACACCTATGGGTCTCGGTGGGATAACGCAGAATGCAAAGAAAAAGTTAAATTTGTTTGCCAAAGACAAAGTAAGTATTTTTTTATTAAACATGCAGTTCATAGAATATGGCGATGAATAATATTAAAGTGTGCACTCATATCACAAACATAACAACCAAATTGTTGTACACGTGGGTGCTCATGTAGCTCTTTGTCATACATACTGCTGCGTTTGTATCTCTTTATCGTACCTGCTGCGTTTGTGTCTCTTTGTCGTACATGCTGCTGAACCGTGGTACACACTGCTGCGCTGTCTTTGAATGGTTTGTACACGCAGCTGCACCGTCCCCTCCGTATGCACTCTTTCTCGTCTTGTTCCCATTGTATTTGTCTGGTTGTCGTCTTGTCTCTGTCGTATTTGATCGTCTGCCGTCTTGGTCTCCCTTCCCGTTCGGGACTGGTTGTATTACGCAACGGCACCAATTTCATGTCCACCGTCGCACTTTTCCTCACGTCTTCACAATATTATTCCTTTGTCTCGTCTTGTCTCGGTGCCAGTTGTCTCGTCGTCTCCTCAGAGAAGGAACTGAATTATACTCTCTATAAACCAAACAAGTTGGCCTTTCGTTGTGTGGCGCGGACGCGTTGGGGTGAATAGTTCATCCCATAAGCTAGATGTAGAAACGTCGCTTCAAGTTGACGACGAAAGTAGTTTCGCTTCCAGGATGTTTCCTTGGCCGCCTGTTGGAACGTTCTCCATTTGTTAGTGTTTGTCTTCGTTTAACATGTATATTACTCAGTATGTCGTAATTGGACACTGCTCGATTATTCTTACCTTGTGCGTTTCACTATTTGTAACGTGGCTCCTCTGCTTCAGTTTTCGTTCTATCTCTCTGGCAGGGGCAACCACCACCCGTCTGGTGGGTGCCAGCATCCTCCGGCAGTTGCGCTGGGACTCTACGATACATTCTTGTTCTTCGATAATTAGAAATCTGCCTTTCTAGTTCTTCGCTGTTTGAATTATTATTTATTTGTGTTGTTTCTTGCGGCACTCGCTTTTGTGTAGATTTGACCTTTTTGCATGTCCGCGTGAGTACAGATGACATCATGCATTATTTTCTGTCACGTGTTTTGCTTTGAGCGTGTCGTTCAAGATGTTTGAACTGCGCCCGCTGGCCGATTTTCTTTGCTTGCTGTTTTCTTTGCCAGTCAAGCGTGGGGACGCTACGGTGTCGTCCTTCTTGGCTGTGTGTCCGGTACGGGGCCGGGTACGTGCGTCCCCAGCTCTCCGTTCTTTGTTCTTTTTTTGAGTTAGATTCTTCAATGGTGTTTTGAGAACATGTTTGGTAATACAGTCTTCTAAATAGTTCGATGCTTCCAATGGTTGTGTCTGATGCAAGTGTGGGTTTGCGAGGGAACCGGTGAACCATTTGGTCCTTCGAGCCGGATCCGACAGGTTTCGACTAGTAGTGTCAGCGGTGGTAATGGCGTTTCCGCCACCACCAGAGTTTGTGACTCGTAGTTTTACGCCACGCCATTATGGTACGAGCGTGGGTGAAACTCCTGTTGAGGAACTTGAGGACCGCTGGAAAGAGTTGATTCGTCGGAGAACAAACCTCCGTAGACGCCACACGCGGATCAGTAACCGCTTGCGAACTCTGATTGCTTGCTCGTCGCCGTCTCGCCGATATTTGCAGCCTGATGTCCGTGAATTAGAATTTGTACGGTCAGAGCTGAATTCGGTTTTAGAAATTATGCGCAGCATGTTGGAATCCCAAGAGAGTGAGCAACTGCTGAATGAGTTGGACGAGTGGGAGGCGAAGTTTGATAAGGAGAGTGTTGGTGTGATGGCTGCTGCTGAGGCGATCTTGGATTCGCCTGTTGAGTCGGTTTCTGGCCAAGTGGCATCAGGCCAACAATCAGCAGTCGCAGAACAGGTTACCCCTGTGCCACCGTTAACACCACCGCACATGCGGCCTGTGCCACCTCTACCAGCACCACGCACACGGCCAACACCACCACCAAAGCCAAGTAGTCTGAGCAGCAGACTAAGTGTGACGTCAGTTGGTTATAGTGCTCCTGCCAGTAGACTTTCTGAGTGGTCTCCTCTAGCGGAATCTGCTGTCGACCCCCATGTTAGCGATTGGCTTGCCAGTATGCAACGGCCACATGGAGTAAGCGCTTTTCACCATCTGAAGCCACTAGAGCTGCCCAAATTTAGTGGCAGGACCCAGCAGTTTGTACGGTGGAAACAAACATTTAAGCGCCTCGTGGACGAGGGCCGCTTCGTCTCTGACGAATATAAACTGGCACGACTGAAGGAGGCGCTGCAGGGTAGCTCGGCCGAAGACATTATCGCGGATATGTTCGACGGTCCGGGTGCATACACTGCAGCCTGGACGGAGCTTGAGCGCTGGTTTGGTGGTTCCGATCGCCATCTTGCCTTGCAAGAGAGAGAGATTCTGAATCACCCACGCATTGCCTCTGACAGGGACACCGAGTCTGTCCGGAAGTTTGCTGTCAAGCTCAGAAATGTGCTCATGAACCTGGACTTGGCTGGAGAGACCCCTGGTAGGGAGCTATTCCTAAGTGCGCTGGAGAAGCTACCCAGAAGTGTAGTTATACGATTTTACGAACAACATCCAGACAGCAAATGCAACGCAACCACGTTCTGGCTGGTAAAACGGGTCCAGAACGCTAAGCGAGCCGATGACATCTTGGCGACAGTCGGCACAGAGAAGTTGAACAAGACACCTCCTGCGGTCCCGCCAAAGCCTAGGTCATCCGCTGTGTATGCTGTGGAGCTCAGTACTCAGCAGTGTGCCAAGTGCAGCAAGAGCCATGCCACAGCAGAGTGTCCGGAATTCAGGGCGCTGATAACCAAGCGCCGCTGGGACCTGGTCAAGCGTGCCAAGCTGTGTAGCTGTTGTTTGGAGCATGGACACTGGGCGCGTGAGTGCCAGAAGCTGGAACGTTGCCACTGTGGAGAGAGGCACCACTCACTTCTGCACTACAGCAAGTCAGTGCAGCCACAAGCTGCAGCGCAGAATCCCGCTACGATGCGACCAGCAGCTACGGCACCTCGGCAGGAAAGTTCTCACCATGCTAGTGTCAGCGTGCCGCAGACTACCGCTTTCGCTACCGTGCCAGTGAAGATTATTGGCCCAACTGGCAAGTCGGCAATCTGTACGGCCATGCTGGACTCAGGCTCGACTGCAAGCTTCATACGGGAGGATGTAGCCCATGAGTTGGGCATGGCAGGTGAAGTTCACATGTTGAATACATCCACGATTGGTGCGCAGCAGACCTCCGGCTATCGGGAACTGGTCAAGGTGCAGATGGAATCCATTGATGGAACAGTGTCATACCCGCTCAAGGCATGGGTATATGATCGTGTGACCAAGAAGACGCAGGTCGTCGACTGGAGCCGGTACAAGTCCAGCTATGAACATCTGAAGTTCATAGACTTTCCCGAAATCTCCAGCACCACGGTCGACCTCCTGATTGGTCTAGACGTCATTGATGCCCACGCATCACTCGCGGAGTACAGAAGCAGCAGCGGTGGACCAATTGCCCGCAAGACGCCACTGGGATGGGTGTGTATGGGCCCAACGCCCAGTGCACCCAGTGATGGCGAGTTGTCTGTCAACTTCGTGCATGCTTTATACGGCGAATGCAGCATAGACAGCCTGGTCCAGAATTTCTGGAATCTGGAGGCAGTCGGTATGAAGCACGAAGGCACCTACATCACCCCTGCAGAGAAGCTGGCTGAGGAGATCGTTGAGAAATCCATCAGCTTCCATGATCAGCGAGTCACAATGGCAATCCCATGGGTCCACAGCAACAGCCTGGTGTCACCGCTAATCGCACCATGGCGGACCATCGCCTGCGCATGCTAGAGAAATCGCTGGACAAGCGTCCAGAGCTGAAGGCAGCATACGGCAAGGTCATCCGTAGCCACATTGACAAAGGCTATGTGCGCGCAGTGTCGGCAGCAGAGGTTGAGGCAGATGGCGACGACCAGTGGTTCCTGCCGCACTTCGCCATTGTACGAGACGACAAGGCCACCACGAAGGTACGTGTCGTCTTTGATGCTGCTGCCAAGTATGACGGTACGTCGATCAATGAGTGTATGTACCCTGGACCCGCTCTGCAGAATGACCTAGTGAAAGTGCTTCTGCGGTTCTGCAAGGAGCCAGTAGCGCTCACGGCGGACATTACCGAGATGTTCCTGCAAGTCGTGCTGGCTGAGCAAAACCGCCGATATCATCGCTTTGTGTGGGACTCACGCGTATACGAGTTCCAGAGGTTGGTGTTCGGCATCAAGGCGTCTCCGTACCTGGCATGCAAGGCGCTACAAGTGGTGTGCCGCAAGACAGCCGACAAGTATGACCCAGCCATGTTGCAGATCGTTGACCGAGACATGTATGTGGATGATCTGCTGCACTCTGCTGTCTCCGTACCGGAAGCCATCCGCACACAGCAGACAGTACAGGACATCCTTGAGCAGGGCAGCTTCCACCTCCGCAAGTGGCTCAGCAATAGCTCGGAGGTGATGGACGGCGTACCGGAAGCTGACCGCTCACCGCAGCTCGTAGCTAGCATCAATGATCATGATCACTGTGCGCTACCATCAGTCAAGACGCTAGGCGTGATGTGGTCGGCAGAGGATGATACCTTTGCCTTTGAGTTCAAGCCGCCCGCAACAGAGAAGCTGACCAAGCGAGCCGTGCTGAGTAAGATGGCATCTATATTCGACCCACGTGGACAACTAGCTCCCTTCACGATTCGCTCTCGTGTCATGTTCCAGGAGCTGTGCATCCTCGGCGTGGGCTGGGATGATCCACTGGACGCTGAGCACACGCGGAGATGGACATCCTGGTTTAGCGAGCTGGGAGATCTGGCGCTGATCCGTGCGCCGCGCTGCTTCAAGTGTCCGGGTCGCGAGTCGTCTGTCGCTACATTGTCGCTGCACGTGTTCACGGATGCTTCAGATGCCGCCTACGCCGCTAACGTGTACCTCCGTGCTGAGTACCCAGACGGCAATGTGCGAGTGACGCTAGCACTCGCCAAGGCGCGTCCATGTCCC